CACTGCCACAACACCTTCAGCAGCTGACAACACTGCCTCTGCAGATGTCACCACAACAGTCGCAGCTTTGGCTTCACCACCAACGCTGGTAACCGCATCATCAGACTCTGGTGCCGCACCGACACCTTCAGCTGTTGGATGCCCAAGGAGCGCATGGCTGTCCGGCGCTCTGGGCTCTTCTCGTTCTGCAGGGATACGTCCAGCCATAGCGGAACCGATTCCCTCGCCTTGAGACCTTTCGCAAACAGCTACAAGTGCATTGATCATTTGAGTGCATGAAAGTGGAAACAACTTATCTATTCTCAAGAGTAATGCTATGGAGGTATCAAAAAAATAGGTACGGACGGGGTACGGATCAAACATGGTACGGACGTACGATATTGGTACGATGGTGCGGTGCGATGACGTGTCGTGGGGGCAACATCAGGACGGAGGTACAACTATGTCAGTACATCAGTACTACTGTTCAAGTGCAACAGAGGGCTGCATCTTGCACAAACCTTTTCTCCTTTGTTCGAATGGCTGTCTCTTTAAAGTCTCTTTGCAAAATGCAATGTGTCAAGGCCCCGGTTGATTTATTATAGAGCCATTTTCTTCTTGTAATCAACCAGGAATTCATGAGCCATATTGTGTTGCTTCCTCACGACTCATGGTATGAGTGTGGTGGTAAGAGTGAAACAAATAAATGAATTCGGCTTTAACCAATGAATTATGAATTATGAATCATGAACATATCATGGCACCCTATTGATATGGTGAGGAAAACAACTATGACCCATTTTGGCATCAGTTCTGGCTCAAGTCGGCTTCCATCTATATACCAAAGTTATTTATTTATGTACAATAAAAAAACAAACGCAAAACATCGATCGCATGAACCCTCTCGAAGAAAACGATTCTCACTCGCATCTTTTTCGACTGCCTGCTTTGAATCCATTGCGAAGCAGTTTGGATTGGACATTGTTTATGTCCTTATTTGAACTCCCTGGTCTGATGGTCATGTTTTCCCCCATCAGAGAGAGATTAAAAATAGGATCGATTATCGATCTGGCAGCGGTGAAATTTGATTCGGATGTGCCAACGTCAGTTGGAACAAAGGCAGTGGTCAAGTTGGATGACCCACGGTTAGGAAACAAAAGATGAACCCAAGGCAAATTATGCCTTGAAATTGATGCGAAGCGATCGTGCATATGACAGAAAACAACGGTTAAATTCCCCTAATATATAAGGTGTGGGGGGGAGGGTGAACAAAAACAAAGCATAAAACGTGGAAGCCAACTTGAGCCAAAATGTTACCACATTATAAGATGAAGTCCTACTACCCCAAAACATTAGTGAACAAGTACACTACACGTTCTGGCTCAAGTCGGCTTCCATCTATATACCAAAGTTATTTATTTATGTACAATAAAAAATAACAAACGCAAAACATCGATCGCATGAATCCTCTCGAAGAAAACGATTCTCACTCGCATCTTTTTCGACTGCCTGCTTTGAATCCATTGCGAAGCAGTTTGGATTGGACATTGTTTATGTCCTTATTTGAACTCCCTGGTCTGATGGTCATGTTTTCCCCTTTTACTCTATCAGACTGTTGGGATTCAAACGCCAAACCTAACCCCGAAAAAAGTGTTGGATTCCAGCAGTCGAAAAAGAAAAACTGGGCTACGCTACGGAATCTGCCAGGCAAGGTATGTCTCAGGCGGATGCAAGGAAATGGATGCTTCTGGATGCCACAGCTGATCTAAAGAGAGTGCAAAACGATTGTGCAGTTCATGGCCAAAAGGTGGATCTGAATGAAAAATCCAGCGACTCAGTGCATCAGCTTCTTCATTTCTGTCACTGGAAATGTGTGACAAATCAAGTTCCATTCCAGAAATAGTACAGAGTAATGTTAAGCGTTCCAAAAATGGTTCAATGGAGATGTTGTCGAAAAAAGTTGATTGCCACCAGCTTCAGTACAGAATTGTTGGTCAATGACTGGAAACGCAAAGGAAATCTAGAAATTGGCGAACTGCAACTGAAGATATACTGGATCGCCAGCTGTGCTAATGTCTCAAAAGATGCAATGCGCTTTTGCATCTCGGGTGTGACAGGGATGTTCAGTTTGTTGAAATCATCGAATGTGAATTGCTCACTAAAATGATTGGCGGTTCCAGAAGGAAATCGAATGAAATCCTCCGATCTGACAGATGCTGCTGGGGACCATGGCATCTGCTGCATAATCTCCGGACCAGAGTTGTGTTGGGCTTCGGCATTTTTCCAGTGTAACTGATTGAAGCCAATTCGCATACATTGCCAATATGTGATGAGAGAGTATGCCAATTCAAAGCGGGATCACAGAGTCGCTATCAGGTTCTGCGTTCAGAAGGATAAATTTGGTGAAGATCAGCTTTACATTGGACTTCTTGATGTCGTACTGCTAAGAGAGTACTTCCAACAGGGATGCTTGTTTCATGGATCTGTAAATAAATGGTAAATTATCGTCCAAGCAATCAATGATGTGAGTCCAGTGACCAGGATTGATGCTGTAGTGGCTGGCAGGGATATTGTAAAGGTCGCAGTAGAGGATCGTAAACCAGCATCGCATCAATAAGAAATTTTGCGGAATCCAATTGAGCAAACTCACCAGGTTCTCCAAAAACTTCTTGAATGTCTTGGAGGAATTCTGCATTGTAGAGATGTACTCTGCTATATGATCAATTTTGTTTTGAGGAAGGCTAATATACCCTGCAATGACATGAAATGGCCATCCAATCCATTGAATGCAAGGTCCAAATTCAGTTTTGCGCCTTGGAATAGGAATGTTGAGGACCCAGGCCAGGACGCAGCGTAGACTGGCCATCATCTAATCAACTTTCTCTGGGAAAATGAGGAAGAAGTCGGCAACGTATAAAAACCAGAGTGCGGCTACCACAGCAGAAAGTGGATGCAGCGCAACATGAAGCTTCCCAACCTTGTCCAATGATACGTACTGAATGCAGCTCCGAAAGGGGCTACTTTATAAAAAATATATAATGCCCTGGTCGAGAGTCACGCAATGCTAATCCCAGGCGGCCAATGGCTAATTTATCGCCAAATTCCAATTATGCATCTTCCAAGTACTTGCCGTTTTCAAATTCCTGCACGACTGGGTCTCGGGTGATAGGTCGATCTGATGCTGGAGATGGCCAGTTGGTCATGTGGATGGAGAGCAGGATGGATTCATATGTTTTTTTTTTTGCTCTCGAAAAACCGTCCGAGCCAGGTATATGCCCGTCCAATCCAGTGGGGGTTCTCTCCAACAGCATGGGAAATAATGATGTATCTTTGTCAGCCAAAAGTGGTGACAAGGATGCTATGATGGATAAATGCATTGGTTGGTCTGCACGTATAGACCAGTCAGGGGTACGTCCATGTGATTGTATAAACATCGTCATGGACTCTCTAAACAGTTGGAGATCATGGTCATTGAAAGGTGGTTGGTTATCCCCTGGATTAAAGAAAGCTTTCATTTTTTCAATCAAATCATGTGTCAACAAAATGTGGATCCACGGCCTGCGAAGATTTTGCAAAGCATCGGGTACGGAGCTGTACGGTCTGCTCCAGTCTGGTTCTGAATAAAGCTCTCCACCATCTTCATAGCTAATAGGCAAAGCATTCAGTGGTTTGGTGGGGATGCACGTTTGGACTGAGTCGGCATCCAGTAATGGTCCCTGAGAGGGCGAACATAAAGGAAATATCAAACCTGCAATTGCTTGGCACATTTCAGCCATGTACTTTGCAGTATCTCGACTCTTGTAGGGCCCATCTGCATGTTTAACGCTATGGAACTTTGCATGGTTCCCAGGTGGGTGCGAATAAATTGCACCGAATGATTTCATTGCAGGGTATGTGCAAGCTAGAAGCCAAACTTTGTACCAATGAGTGTTGTAAGCACACGCTGGAAAGTGCATCAGGTATAGTACGCGAATTATGAGAAATCAACTTACTAATGGTTCAAGCTATGCCATCGAATTGGTAGGTTGTTCCAGGTGGTCGTGACTGCCCGAAGTGAATATCAGTTCCAAGCACAATACACATCGAGCCATCTAGGTACGGCGGGGTTGAATTCTTTGCCAACTCAGATGGGCTCAAGTTAGGCAGCCCATTTAGGAATTTTGGTGTTCTCAGTGCAGGAAATCTACCAGGTTGTAGGTTGAGGCGATTAAGCTCCCCACAGTTAGGAGCAGCTGCTCCATATCTAACAATGCCCGATGCGCATATTCTCAGTGAAGGCTCAAGAAATGTATTATCCAGAAGTTCCATCTGTGTATCAATCAATTTATCCACCGGAAAGCATTTGCATCCATGTCCAAGCATCGCTGAGTATCCAGAGCCAGCGCAAATGTCCTGAAAAATTTTGGAACCATTGAGAAAAGAAACGGCCACAAAGGTTTGAACCGAATGTGGAATGGTAGAAACTGAAGGTGATGTCCCGGTTGTTGTTAGAGGATCAACCATTGTTGAATCGATACCAGGCACATCACCCGCCGCGATTGGTTCTGTTGCCGCTGGTGGGCTAGGGGTCGCCGGAAACATAGGGACCCTCAATTTGTCTTCCTGTCGGAGTCAGTGTGGTTGCTGCTGATGGTCAAACGCGCTATGAGGTTGGCCGCAGGCCTGCCCCGATGCCAGTGGGTGGGCACACAGATGGCTAAATCGGCAGGTATCTCCTTTCTGACACTTTCCCGATTGGAACTGCATACATAGCTGATGCCGCTTTCCTTGAACTGTAGCCTCCGTGACCCAGGTTGGGCGAGAAGGTGCTTCGCCCTTTTTGCTTCCTTGTTTGCCCTTGCTTTTCGATTTTCCCCGTCCTTTTGCAGATCCAGAGGATGGGGCTGATGGAGAGGGGTGTTGCGGTTTGGTCGACAACTTAGGCCTCGGTTGAAGTAGTGATGCCATATCTGATCGCAAATGCGTCACTTCGTGGATGGCATTGTCCAGGGTGAATTGTTGATCCAGGACGAGGTCATGAATCATCTGCCACAAGCCTTATCAGCTGCTTGCGCTTCCAACACGTTGGGTGGTCTGAGTCCAGAGTCAGCATCTAACCTCTGGGTTAGGAATCCCATAAATTTCAAGGTGTGGGAGCGAAGGCGCTGCAAATGACAAGCGCCCACCAATGACATCGCTGTGTTGTGGACCTCCAGCATATTCCTAATGGCGTTGACGCCCATCCCTTGATTGTTAACTTCCAATGAAGGAGGCTCGTCCCAAAGAAGCTGGTGCAATTGAAGGCCTTCAACTTTAGGTATCTTTGGGCGCTGATAGATGACCATGTCTTCCATGCGGGACTGAGTCATCCGAAACTTCCAGGGAATCCATCGATATTCCTGCTTGGAGTGTTGATGGTGTGCTAATGACAGTAATCTCGTAGATGGCATCGTTTCCATTGTCAGAACTTCACTGGGGTAGTCCTCCAGAAATTGCTTCTTAAGTTTTGCAACTGTACTGGGTTGGATCTTCGGGGCAAAAGATTCTGCCCATGATCCGTCAGGCTGGATGCCTGTTGGAGGTGCAGCCGCACTCCTTGGAGAATCACGCAACGAAGGCACAGCCTCCGATTGTAAAAGCTGCCACGCTACTTTCAGATTGGCACGCTGCACCAAAGGAATTGGGGCATCTGAAAGTTCTGACCATATTTCGTCAGTGAAAGCTGCTTTGGATTCTACGATCATTGCAAAATTCTGGGGTGTCCAACCATTTGATACCAGGTGTGATGATAAGGCTGGGTCCACACCATGTGAGGCCAAGTGATCTTCGAGATCTGGCAGAGCCATTTTTCTCCCATTGGAGCAACGCAATGCGAAGTAAAATGAACACAAAACAAGTGTTGATTTGAGATTCCGTTGAGTCAAAAGATATTTGTTGAATGAATGTTGAAGAGAGGTTGGTGAATAAAACTCCTAACAATGTTGAGTCAAAGTCTCCAAAAAAAAATATTGAAGTGATCACGCACAAAATGTCTTGTGATCTTGAATCATGAAATGCAGTCGAACCTGAAGTCCTGAAACGATGCAACGATGCCAATGTGGTGTCCAACGCGGAAATGATCTGAACTGACACAAACTCAACAAGTGCCAAAAATAAAAAAAAATCTTGGATGATATCTCAACCGTGTGGCTGCACGCCACTATGATGCAGCTAACCCTAGTTTTTTGGACTCCGGCGGGGGAGCTGTCAGTCACCTACGCAAGACGCCTGCTGCCATCGTTTGAAGCATGCCGCATGACTGCACATACCAAAAATTGGGTTCAGCTGAGCATCAAAAAAAGCAATTATCTCTGGGCAACCTGGCTCCACAAGCAGCTTGGAAGTGTTGATCATTCCACCGTGGTTGGTGGCAGTTGGTCGTGGCAAGCATCATGTGTCGAATCTTGGTGATCCTTGCTACGATCAACTCTTCCGTAGCCCCAAAGTCTAGCTCTTCTGCAACTGAGCTGGAAGCTGTTGAAGATAGGCTACTGCTCGAAACGGATGATGCATCATCCTTGGTGTCTGCCTGGATGGCGTCGGATGCCAACTGCGAAGAAGGAATGCCTTCAAGGATTGGGTCCATGGTGGCCTCATCGAATGGAAAAAATATCCATTTGTATTTCTGATACGGTTTTCGAAATGTCTCCAATATCACAACTGGCTCTTGGATTGAACGTTGTGAGCCTCGATGCAACGGTGTCACGAACCTGTGAACTTTTTGAGCCTGCAAAATCAGATTATTTTTGCAGGGCCAGTTGACCGGCGGTATCATCCCGGCTGGAAAGGCGTATACGGCCTTTACGATGGTGTCCTTGGAGATGTCTCTGTTCATCTGTAACCAATCCCTGTTGTGCGGGTTGGTTGGACCAGTTCAGATTGGTCGTTTGCAATGAATGCAGTGTACAATCATTTGAATTGGCTGGTGCTGGAACTGTTGAATATTTCCAGGGCAAAGTACTGAAATATCTAAGCCAGAGCCACGCTTGTGAATATGGCGTGGGCACCAGTGGATATGCAAAATTTTGACCATTGGTCATGGGCAGCAAAAAAAAAAAATCGCCATCTGAAGCTGCATTGTGAGTGCCGGACCAAACTGTGTCTATCGCCAGGAGCCATTGCGCCACCCACGACCATTCGCCATGCGATAAACAGCCACGTGCCTGAATTGCCCAGGGTTGGCCACAACGAGATGTCTTAGTTCGATAGCACGACCCTCTCAAAGCTGTAACGCACGATGACAAGGACTGCAATGAAATCCTTTGACCGTCAGCAAAACGTAAGCCTCCCCACAAGGGGCAGAGAAGCTGCCTAGCAGTACTTGTTCCTGTGATGTGCAATCCTTCATCAGGACACGTCGCTCCCATTGAGAAACTAAGAATAAATTCAATGGTATGGATTCACGTCTTTCATGAGTCCCAGGGCTGAAGAAAGAATTGACAATCGGGTCGTAGAGCCTTTTCCAATCAGTTACCGCTAATAACTTCTGAGCCCAGCGCAACACCTTTATGGCTGTCGTTGCCCCAAATGCCCATTCTGAGCTTTTGCCTCCATGTACAATCTGCAGCAGGTCTGACAGATGGTGGCGTCCAATGTCGATCCAATTCCATGAAAAATCCAGCAAAATTGTGTAAAAGCATTGAAGGGTATTAATATATTTGAAAAGAGTGGATAGTGCAACTTGTCCAATAACCGTCGACAATGAACTTCAAATTGATCTGATGAGTGAGTAGTCCTGCCAATTCTAAGAAAGGCTCCCCACGCTGTGGATGAGGATCATCCATCTGGTCACTAAGTCTGCAGGTATGGACGCCCTTGTATGTGACTACTGAAAGGTTGTGACTCCATGTGGTGTTTTTTTGTCGAACTGACTGGCATTTGGGGGCCCCGTCAAATGGCAATTTAGGTCCAGGCTGACGTAGATGAAGATCGGCAGGTGTGGTCACTGAAACAGGTCTCACAAATGCTGGTACGGATTGACCGCCTTTTTTCAGGGGGTTGGTCCATCTTTTTTGGGGCACAACGCTTCTTGGGATTGGCAGGTAAAATCCAGATCCAATCATCGTCCTTTCTCTGCATGTCCATGATGTCCAGCAAGTCACGAAGATAAGCTTGAGGCCGGGGACAACGCAACGCTTGGAGTATCTAGCTGAAAGAAAAACCACGCAAGGAGGATACACTGCAGTGCAAATCACGCTAAAATGATACCAATCGGAGTTCCAAGGTCCATGCAAAGGACGTTCAATTGGCCAGCAATCCAATGGTGGGATGTACAAAAAGCTGAAAATAACTGTTCGAGGTTCTGCTGATGGCAAAGCTTGGTCAACGAAAAACAGGTAAAAATACCTGGGGCCCACCAACGCTGGCCGTAACATCGACGCCCCGGAGCGGCCGGAGCGATATGATATGGAGAAGTGATGTTTGCAGACAATGGTGAAAGAATAAAACCTTCAAACGCGTATGGTAAAAACAGAAAAGTTTGAGCAAGTAACATGGCTGTCTGATCATGACCCCATGATACCATAGAATGAACAAAAACAAAGCATAAAACGTGGAAGCCAACTTGAGCCAAAATGTTACCACATTATAAGATGAAGTCCTACTACCCCAAAACATTAGTGAACAAGTACACTACACGTACCGTAAATTGAACCAAAAACGCTGCCAGCTTTTCGTTATTTGGCCGGCTTCGTGGCTCAATCCTTTCAGTTTCAGTTTAAATCTAAAGTTTGCCCTTGACGGGCAATTTTTTCAACAAGGTTTAGGACTTCGCCTTCCTCATCGGATTCTGACTCAGTACGAAATTCCAGCTCCAGGATCATGGCAATGAATATAGCCATACAAGATGTAGAGGCAAACCTTGGCGGGTAAGGAGAACTAACCTCAACCCTGGATTTTGGGTATCGTATCGGTAAGAGTCGTGTCATCATGTACATATGATATTTTATAATATACAAGAATACTTTGAATTATATATATTATTATGTATATACTATTTCAATCTATATATATATTATATTATATTATATTATATTATATTATTATATATTATATTATATTATATTAATTATATTATATTATATTGTATTTTACAGTGTTATATTACATTATATTATATTATGTTATATTATTCTATTTTGCTTTATATTATATTATATTATATTTTATTAGATTATATTATAGTATGTATATATATTTATTCTATATTATATGATGTATTATATTATATTGTATTATATATTTTTATACTATATATAGATGTCTTTATATTATATATTAAATCGTGGGATAGGTATATATTATTATATATAATATATATATATGTACAATGTATTTTACAAATTAGATATGTATTTAATTTCAATGTATACTGTATAATAATAATATTAAATAATGTTATTATTTTTTTATAATATAAAATAAAACATATTATTATTAGTTAACTAAATAATATATTATATATTATATATTTATTATTATATTATATAACAATAATAATATAATAAAATAAAAGTTTTATATGGTTTATAAGTTTTTAATATTATATCATATCATTATGTATAGATTCTATAGATCTAGATTGCTTGGGTAACTAGCTTCATGAATAATTCGGTGATGTATGATACATGCTTCATAATTCAATTCATTTCATAACTCATCATCCACATATAGCCTACCTATGCATCCAGACGTTTGAAATTTGAGGTCATGATTTTGTTACTTTGTTATTTGTGATAGCTACTAATGGCAGTAGTGAACGGATTGCATGATTCATGATTAACCACTCAGAATTCAGAATCATAATTCATGATTCATCATCATGGACCATGGGGTTCATGATTCATGACTCATGACAGTGGATTGGAACATGAAGACAAACCATAGCGTAAGTCATATTAAATTATATTATAAATAATTATAATCATAATCTATAATCTATAATTATATTATATTGGCAAGCACTGGGTGGCGCACCGAAATACAACAAGTAGAATTGATTGAACCTGAAATGTTTTAAATTAGTCAGTCTGACTAGACTAGACTTAGAATGAATCTAGAATCTGGAATTCAAGAAGTTAATAAATAGAACCCGATCAACCAAACATGAAACATCAACATAACTTAACAACAACCCATCCTCATTCCCTTGAGCGGAAGAAACAGAAACAATGTAAAACTAACCTGAAATCCAGGCACGCATTTCCAGCAAGGTCGCTCATTTGGCTCTCTGACAAGCGATCTCGAACTTCAGGATCAAATTGAATTCCCTGGAGATGCAAAAGCTCTCGACCTAGGCTCATCTCCACATTTTTTTTGATTTGAGAAGAACAGATAAGGATGACTGAGAAGGGTGAAGGATGACTAAGCTGCGAACTTGAGTTAGAATTGAAAAGAAGGAAGGATGATGACGCAGAAGGGTGAAAATGATGACAGGAGTCAATGGAATGGAAGAAAGGGATGCATGGTGGATGGTTGTTGCTGTGTAGTTGTCGTGTGTGTGTGTTGCATTAGGTACAGTTAGAGTTTTAGATTTTTTAGACATATCATATAGTTTTTAGTAGTTGTTAGTAGTTCTTGTTTCGTGTTTCCTCAGGTGTTAGAAATTGACACCTATGCAGCCTATACATTGAGCTAATCAAAAATTGTTACACTGAAAATGTTTTAACTAACTGACTATGCACTTTGCCAACGAATACCTTAGCCGCTAGCTTACTAGCCAAGATGCCAATAAGCAAGCGGCGGCGCTCCAGGTCCATCAACTTCGATGATGGCAATATTGTGGGAACCTCCTTAGTGAATGGAAAGTGGGTAAGAAGATTAACGTTTAAATTTTAAATTAGATTAATGACTAGATTAGATTAAAATATCAAAGTAGAATAGCATATATCATCGTCAGTTGTTGCCATCATCATCACAGTCAGCATTGGCATTCTTATCACGATGATATCGGTGATAGTAGTTATTAACTATCGTGTTTATTTACCAGGTATTAATTATCAATTACTATGACTAGTTGCAAATAGCTAACATCATCAAAAAAAACATAATCATCATTAGTCAATCACCAGGAGTCACTATTCATAATAATAACTTATAGTCAATCATAATCCATCATTGCCCAATATCCAATCGTCATCATAATCATCAATTAATCATAATTAATCATAAATCATAAATCGTCATCACCATTCATGATAATCATTCATCATCATCATCATTATCATCATCATCATCATCACTGGAATCATCGATCATGATTCATGATACATGATCATCATTCATTTGCAATCACGATCATCAGAGTCAACAATCAAGCAAGCAATAAAACAAATAATCAGCTGATGAATCGAAACAGTTGATCAAACATACTAATAATTAATAATAATAATATAATATATTATTAAAATTATAATATAATATAATAACATAATATAATATAATAAATAAATTATATCACGCTGTTATTACTAAACAATCAGCTATTTGGTTTTGCTCTTGTTAGCTGCTAGCTGATTGATTGCGCTTTGTTTATTTGGGCATTTACTAGATGATAATAGTAATAAGTTATAATAATTAACAATTCAATTCAATTAACACTTAATTTAACTTACCCCAGTGAAAGTTAAGTGGTTTTTTTCAATTGATGAAGTTGATTGAGGAATGATATTATTTATATTTTTTTTGAACATACCAAGTAGTTTACATTGATGAAAACTAATAAGCAGGATTAGAATCATTGGGTATGGCTAGATTTTTTAAGAAAAAATATAGTCATCATGAATCATCAACCAACAAAAACAACTTACTACGATACTACTACAGTTACGGCACTATACCAAAGTAAGATAAACAGCTGACCAGCTAACATTAGCTATGAGTGCCATGAAACCATGACCTATGTTGAGATTCAGATATGAATACCTAATAAAATTATGTATTTATCATCAATGAATGCATGTTTTGTTACATTTGAATATATTATAAATTATAAGATATAACTACTATAACTATGAATTGGAAACCTATAAAAATATGTAATATTATACAAGAACGGTAAGATATAAACTAGTAACTAATACATACTAATTAAACTAACTAAAAATAAATTTCTAATACATAAATTATATATAATATAATAATATATAATAATAATATTATATAGCTATAATTTATAGTGATATTTAATAAATTAAAATTTAATATACAATAACATATGATGTTGCATGTATGTGTTTTGTGATTGTGTAACATATGTTTTGTTTTTTGTAGTTATTAAAGCTTCGTTATAGTTGCAAGATATATATAAATATAAATAGTATAAGTTAAGGATTAGAGTCTGAATATCAAATTAAATATATTAAACTTACTTAAAATAATTTTAAAATGTATGTCATAGTCATAGACGTAGAGTCATAAACTATAAACAACATACTTAAACTTAAACAAACAAATACTAAAACTAAACTACTCCCTGGCCCTACCATATCAATTGTAGTATCAATCATTGATTCTATCTTAAAGTCTTGGTCTCAGAGTCTTAGTCCCAGTCTTAAGTCCATAACTCATAATAAGTTAGTCACTGCAGCCGGGTCACTGTTGCAGTCGATGTCGGCGTGCGCTGCGCTGACTGCTGCAGGTCACCATAGCGGATAGGGTCATGCCCAGTCGAAACCAAAGTCTGCCGCTCGTTCAGAAGAAACAACATGTTCTTAGTGTGGCAGCTTATCAGCAGTATATGTCCATCTGTGTTCATTAAGAAACTAAAAATCTATCACTGTGCAACTCATCACCACAACAACAAGGATCCCTAGTTAGGTCATTTGGTCGTCACAGTCCAAGTCAGAGTGTCAGTGTCAACGTCAAGTATATTGATATAATTTACATAATCTATATATATATAAATATTAATATATATATAATATATTTATATTTATATTAATTATATTATTATTATATTTAAGTTATAGTTATGTTACGTTAGTTAGTTATTTATGTTACAGGTGTTAGGGCATCGTCTGAGTCTTAGTCTAGTCTAGTCATAGTATTTATTTAGTTTTAGTTTTATTTACAGTCCATGGTTCAGGGTCAGCTACTAGCATGACAAGACTCTTCCTTTTCGCGAAGGCTTAAGGTCTCAAACCAAGGGTGCCCCTGGAGATCTTCAGGAACAGCCAAGGGCCAATTGATACCACCTTGGGCGAGTCATGGTGATTGACCATTCAAAGAATCAAACAATGACATATCATAAGAAAACAATTGATTCATTGATATTAAAAAAAACTTGGTCCTGAATGTTTAGTTTGGTTTATCCGGTTTAGTGTTACAAAAAAACAACTTACGTTGGATTAGATTCGATTTGTAGATTGTAGAATTACGATAAATTATTAATATATTAATAAATATGGTTTACGTCATGTTATGTTATGTTAGTTATGTTACGTTACCTGTTGTCAACCAAAAGAAATCTGAATTGTGTTTCAAGTTGAGATACAAGTTACAAGTTGAATAATTCAACCACGGACAATTATGATTCTGATGATTCATCTATGAATCAGTGATTCATGATTCATAATTCATGGTTCATGATGCTTCAAAGTCCAGGAGTCCATGACTATGATACGATTTGATTTGATTATGAATTATGGGTATGACTCATTTACAAATACAATGAATCTACAATGAATAATGAAACTTTGACTTATGATTCATTTATAACCAGCTATAACTATTCATTTCATTCAATAGTCAATAGCAAAAAAAATAGAATCGAATTGAATAAAATAAAATCAGCATATTTAATTTAATAATCATAAAACTTTAACATAAATCAGTTAAGAAACGTGATTCTGCGAGCTGCTGATGTGCGAGCTGCCACTTCCCAGAATCTGATGTGTCTTCGGTACCCTTATTTTTGCCATCAGCCTTTGATTTGGGTTCTTTTGCTTTCTTGCCACCTCCCCGTTTAGACCCAATAACTGTTGTCTCCCCTGTGTCCTTGGAGTCTTTGACATTGGCCTTTGCACGAATGTTGGTACGCCTCTCCAATTCTGCCACGACGGCGGGATGGTCGTCTGGCAGCATGAAGTCTTCCTGACGGGCAGCAACACAGTGTAACAGTGTAACCAGTGGTGTGACTACAAAAAAAAAAATAAGACTAAACTCATAAACAAACCAGCGAACAGTTCAATACAAGTCTCGATTCTCAATTCAATGATGGGTAAGTGCTAGGTCTGGTCATTGGTGTAGGTGATTCATAAAATCTTTGGGAATGAATCTACATGCTGAGCGACCCACAGCTTAGCTAGATCAAACATCGTATAACCAGTATAACATAACTGAGAGATGCAGTCATATAATAGTCATATAAAAATAATCATATAGAGTCATAGTCTGAGTCATAGTCATGTGAATCATAGTCAGAGTCATAGTCATGGTGTTGTAGAGTTATCAGAGTCATAGTTACCGTCGTTACCGTATGAGTCATGAATTATGGTGTTAATAAATGAAATGAATGAATCTAAATGAATTGGTGATGTAACTATTAATCATTAATTATTGTTAAATAAAATATATTATTAAATTATATTATGAATTATGAATATGGTTTACAATGTACAATGTAATATAATATATATAAATTATAAATATAAATTATAATTAAATTAAATTATAAATTATATTATATTATAAAATATAATTCTATGATTCCTACTACTGATAGTAAGAACTTAACATGTAATGTAACATACTATTACTAGGCCAAGACTTGCCAAATTATTTAGGGAACAACTGCCATTAAATAACATCCAAGAGTCTGGTCGTTGGCACTGCAGCCGCATGGCATTCACTGCATGTTCGACTCTCACAAGAGATGCTTGGGGCTGTTTGGCCTTCGAAAAGCCAGCGATATATACTCTGAGACGCCGTTGAGGGACGCCAAAGTCTGATGCCATGATACGGAATAGTCTGGTTGAATAACCCGCATCCTCAAGGGCTTCAGCAATCAGCCTGGGATTTGACTCGGGATCCTCTCCGTCACCGAGCTCAACGTTTTCTAAAATGTAGAAGTCAGGCTGACAATGTCTCAAGGCTGCCACACAAGGCTTGAACGTCGAGACCGAAGACGCCTCCTGTTGTTGTTAGTGTTAGAGTGATTGTTTTGCATAAAAAATATATTGAAGTCTTTGAAATCACATCAAAACTTAACAACTAAACTAAACTGAAACAAATGTTGATAGAACAAGATAATACAATTTTAATTCATATATGACTATATGATTCACCAAAGCTTAGAGCCTAGAGTCTAGAGAGATTTGATGATGATTAGATTCCGAGATATTATTAAATTAAATTACGTTACACAATTATAATTAGATGATATCAGATAGTTACATAGTGATTCAGTTGACTAACCAACTAACTGACTGATTGACTGACTGACTGGCTGACATACATACATACATAAATACATACATACATGCATACATACATGCCCGCATGCATGCATGCATTCATATAATAAAATAAACTAATAATACATAATACATACATACATTGATATCGCATTTTAAGTAAACGTTTTGAAACTAAACAAATGGTTCAACTTCCACCGTGTGGGTCCTCATCATCGTTGTAAAGTGCCCTTCTCAGGCTCGCAAAGTCTGGATGAAGCCTGGAGAACGACCGGCAGCTGAAGCCACCATTGAAACCGTGAAGGTCGGAAGGTATATCCTGGAAATGATAACGCAATTGAACTGACTTTGAAACAACTATGCCCCCCCCCCCCAAAAAAAAAAACCTAGTCCTGGTATTGTGTTGTGTTCTCTGAAATCTAGACTCTCTAGATTCTAGACAAACTCGAATATTGAATCAATCTAAATATGGATCGAATCTAATCTAATCTAATCATCTAAGAATCTAATCAAACCTAAGTCCAAGAGAAGAGTCTAAATCCAAACTCTTAGACTCCAAACTTCTAAATTCTAAATTCTAATTCATCTGAGGACCTTTGCCATTCTGGATTCTAGAGCTCGACGATAGCAACATTGGCAACAAGAAAACTTCACCAAACAATCCAAGGCTCACAGCAGGCTTGGTGCCTGATGCATTCACGATCATCACCAAACACCTTTGTTGCATCTGCAAAGATGCAACACTGCCCATCCTCACCAAGAGCTGACAAAAGTGTCTCGAGATGACGCTGCTTGAATGGGATCCATTCAGACATCAGTTGATGCACCATCTGCAGGCAGCGTGGATACAGAATGCATGGCAAACACCATTGTGTGTTTGGTGGTTATCTCACCATAAACCCAAATGTTAATCATCTGTTGATGCCCCCCCAAAAAAAAAAGTCTTCACAAAAAAAAAGTTAAACTGTTAAACTTTCAACTTTGAAGCCTCTAAGTCCTCAGCCGGGTTCGGGGCAACGACCTGAAACGCTTTGACCACTGCTTCCACAACCAAGAAGAAAGTGCCAGCACCGCTGTAGAAGTCACCGAGGTTAAATGTTCTGGGCAATGATCGAATTTTGCTTTCCACATTGACTGTTCCGGTTGCGATGAGCTGCTTCAACATGATCTGGCAGATTGGAGACAATCAACTATGTTTCATATGATGTTATATTAAGTTTAATTGAAACCTAATAACCCATAACAATAATAATCAAACAAATAACAATTAGTAATACCTTAATTTAACCATAAGGAACTCACATTTGTATCATTGCAAAATGTAAGTAGTTCTTGAGTTAAATTAAAATCAAATAACCATATTGCTGCCTATAAGGATATATTTCTTTGTATATATATTTTATATAATATTATATTTATTAAAATTGAAATATAATTATATTATATAATAATTAACAATTAACAATTAATAGTTAATATTGAATTGAATAGTATTGAGTAACAATATTAAATATTCAATAGATATAATTAGAACTTGAACAGAGTAGTAGAATCAAAATCATAATAGAATCGAATATCAATATCACTTAATTGAATTGAATGAATTGAATCGAAGGTAGCTCTAGATTCTTTAAGAATCTTAAGTTAGATAGAATGAATCTAGATTCAAGATTTCTAGATCTTGAACCAGGAATCTAGAATCGCTAGAATCTCTAGAATCTATAATCAAGAATCTCTAGGACTATAAACATAAATACTAGAATCTAGAGAATCAAGGATATGTAATTTGAATCTAGAATCCAGACTCTAGAGACTCTAGAATGTTATGTTACAGTCAAGTCATATGTTCTTAGTCATATGTAGGTGACATTGCCATTGCAACAGTGTACTATAACGTAACAAACCAAATTAACATTAACTATGCATGTATATACTATAGATTATATATTTATTTTTAGATTTTTAAACTTTATTTTATTTTAGCATTTTAAATATTATATAATATATCTATAACATAAATATTGTATAGGTAAAAATCATGTAATATTTAATAATTTTATGGTACATAATAATCAAATATATTATGGTTCATTTTAAAATGTTAAAATAAGAGATAAGGATGACTATAATTTGTTTAATAAATAATTAAAAACCATAAATGATGATATTATTATTACATAAAATTGCATTTTTGAAACTATTATTCACAATAATTAAAATAATAACAGTAATAATTGAAGTATTAAGTATTTGTAATTCAGTGACAATAATGTTCCATATATATATATGTATTATATAAATTATATAACTTAATAACAATAAAATAATGTTAATAGATAACAGTAATAAGTACCAATATATAATACATTTTAATTATATATAATTAATATAATTATAATAATCAATAATTAATAGTTATAATAATTATAATATATTGTAATTATATATTATTTATATCTAATATATTTCGAAGTATATAATTATTTTTATATTTGACTTGATTACGTAACAATATTAATTTAATAATGCTACCATAATTAAAGTTAAAGCTGTTAAAATAATAATTTAATTAACATTGAAATTCGTAATTGTGAATTAACTTAACCTAACTTCTTTAATTATTTAAGTTATAATTAAATTAATTAAATTAAAATATAAAACAAATAACCATTGTCGAATTGAATTAACAGACATAAATTCATAAATTGGTTAGTTAATAAATAAAACTAACTGACTAATAATAATAAATAACATATTAATAATATAATATATATATAATATATTTATATATATATTATTATAAATCATTAATATTTTTATTATTTATTATTTATTATTATTATATTATGATTCGATGTGATGTGTACCAGGTTGAATCTGAGTTGATTACAACACACCAAGAAAAAAAATGAAACCGAAATCTGCCTTGGCTGCACTTTGAAGCAGCCGCCGAAGAGTAGGATGTTCTGTTGTCGGAGCAACGGGGTACTTAAAGCCGTTGGTATGGTCATCATCATTATCATCGTCATCGGAGTCCTGCACCTGGATCTCTTCAGTCTTTGTGTTGACGCCCATGTCATCATCATTGCCAAACAAACCTTCTGTCGAATAGGCTTGCTGCGCAGTAGATGTCGGCAAGTTCACTGGCATCAGGCTACATTCCTGCAGGTACTTGTTGAACAAATTGATGTGGAGAAGAGCATCTTTAGCCGGAGTTCCAAACGTGTAGGTGTCCTTGATCACTGTCTCTGAGTAGGTCTGGAAACCTGAATGCTGACGAGCTGCAACAAGAAGTGCATCTGCTGTCTCCTGATCCGTAGACTTCGGGAAAAACGCTAACCCCTCATCGTGTCCCTCATATTCGAAAGGAATTGGCCTTTCCCAGTGTTCAATCGCATATTGGTTGAACATGCGTAGATCTTCCAATGGATCACCTGCTGGTTCACCAAATGTCCAATTGTCGATGTCCACATCGTTGGCATCTCTCATAAACTCCATAAATTCATTGAAGAGGTTGTGGTTCTTGACAATCTCTATGGCATTTGCTAATGACTTCGGAATAGGCGGAGGCATGAGAGTCTCAGGGTTCCCAAGAGGCTCTATGTTCTGGTCAATTTGGGTCTCAGCCATGGCAATGGTATCTACGGTATCACCATGGGTTTCCTTTTCCTTGTTTTCACTTTCATGTTCCTCGTTCTTTTTCTTTTCCTCTGTCACATGACTCTCACCACTGGTCACCTTTGCCTTTACCTGTTCCTTTTCCTCTGTCATCATGGTTTCATTGGTCTGAGCCTGTGTGTTGGTGTCGTCGCTTGGGATGGTGGGGACAACTGCTGGTTCGAATGTCTCTTGTACTGGAACTGGAACTGTTGCCTTTGGTTCATCAGTCTGCTTTTGATCATGTGATGTCTGCCTGGTTTTGGCAAAGATATCAGTCATGGTCTGTTTGACCGGCTGATCATAACCTTTGGGCACTATGGTGCGCGTCACACTAGCCTTACTAGTGGAAGACATTGGTGCTGCTGCCGATTCTGGTTCATGAATAGCATCCATCAGTTGCTCAATATCCTCCTCCAAAGTGGTGTTTTCAACATTGGCCTTATCTTTCGCCTCCTCCTTCTGTGCTGGGTTGGACTTGGCCTTCGCCTTTGGTGTTGGAGAAGAATCAACTGCTGGACGTTTTCCTTTACCACGCTTCCTTGGCTCCTGATGATGAGTTGGCAACATAACTTAACAAAACATAACATAAACTCAGATCAAACCAATAAAAGTTGAAAGTGAACTGATATGTTGTGATTGGGTAAAACTTATATAACTTGTTAAGATAAGTCGGCTTAATATTATTAGATCATTAAATCATGTAGATCATTAGATTTTGATGTTTAGGATCTATATTATTATGAAATTACAAAATAAACAATTGTAAAATGGAATACCACTTGTAACCAGGACCAGCACCACAACCTTGCAACACCATCACAATATTGAACAGAAGCAATGATGTTATGTAACTTATGAACTTATGGTGAATATATAATATATAATATTATAATTTATAATTTATAATAGTACAGTGTACAGTGTACAATGTACAATACTAGCTTACTAGCTATAAGTTGTAAGTTGTTTGTAGTATTACCAACCAATGGGTCGGTTCTGAATTTGCATAGTTTCTTTTTTTTTGCAGTCCTCTGGAGTCGCTGATGCCTCAATCTTCTTTGACGTAGTAGCTTTCTGGGGCGACATGTCCACTGTAGTCACAGTGTCACGGCGGCAGCAACACCTTTTGACTTTGCACACACACATGACCACTAATCATGATCTGACTCTGATATGTTAATTTTAGATTTATCTAATGATACTTTACGACGATCTGTTTCATGTACTGTCTCCGACTCTGAGTGGATCCGATCTTGAACATTGAAATTGCATCGGAATCTGATTTGAATCAATCAATCAATGAAAATCAGATAATTTAAATTTGATATATATTTTTTTTGGTAAATTTGATTCAGATTAGAGTCTATGACTCTATGACTATGATTCTATGATTCTAGGTTGGCGTCGAATCATGGCTTCAAGATTCTCTAGATTCTAGATTCTAGATTTTAGATTTCAGATCTAGTTCTGATTCTAGGATTCTAGTTACTAGTTATTCTGCTGCTGGTGTGATTGTGATTTGTTGTGATGGCATTTTGGAACAGCTGCCTGCTAACTGTGAAGTGGTTATTGATTTTCATCCGGCTCAGCTAACGAAGGCAGTGTTGAGAAATATTTGTTGATCTCAACCTGCAGGTTTTTTGCTAAGACTTTCACCGGTCACTATACCCAATGACCAAAGCCAAACTATGACTAAGCTACTCTACTCTACTGTGCGTGGGATCGGAATTGTTATCCTGCCATCCCAAATCAGAATCAGAACAGTTGTTGTCGTTCTGACTGACAGTACATCGCGTAATGTAGCAACTCGATCCCTAATGGTTGCCACAATATAGTACGAAATCAAAAGGGGGCGCTCTCCAAGTTTTTGGACGTGCGCAATTCAGAGCTTAGGCTTTGTCCATGTCCGAAAAAAAAAGAGTCCAGCCATAAGACCTCGTTCAGCCGAAAACAGCAATACCAGTTAACCCAAATAATGGTGAAGTCTTGAACAGCCCCAAACAACAACCAAGAAGAACAGCTTTGTTGTTTTGTGTTTTAGTTTGAATGACTATGTGACTAGAATGATAGTGATTCGAATCAGAATATTTAATAATTTTATACAATATTAATAATCATAATAATGATGAATAGATTAGATGATTAGACTAGACTAGACTTGGTCCAAGCCCCAAAGTTGAATGGCTTCACTTAGACTTGGTGTCTTTGGCATCTTTGGACTCGACATATTTCCCTACGCGTGCCTGAAGCCCGGGTGGAATTGTTAGGCCCACCTCGCGTGCCGTCTTCATGGTTGTGGCAAGACCAGCCACAAGATCCTTTGGTGGCTGAGTCTTAGCACTAACTGCTCTTGAAAAACGCTTGCAGGTAAATGTCCTGACCAAACAAGCAATGGCAAGAATGCTTAGGAGATTGTGGTGAATCGCAACCGCACGCGTCACCATGTCGTTCTTGGATTCCATAAACTCTAGGTTGTACACCTTCATAGCCTCCGAGGAGCTGTAATGTACAGTCGAGTCGCACTAATTGTTTCTACAGTTCTAAGATTCCAAAACTATGAATCTTAACAACCTCAATATACTATAATTAACTGGGTTAAATCAAAGAAAACTACTTTACTATACCTAAGCTAAACAATCAATGTTTTTTTTGGCAACACAAACCACACCTGCATAGCTTTCAGGGTGGTGTCGAGGCCTGATGTAGTTGATTCCGTCTCAGGATCAGCTGCCACCTTCTGAAGCATTGGCATAGAAGATGATGTCAAACAAGAGTCGTCATCCTCTGGAAAGGAAAACGATGAAGCGTCAGGCACATCCATGGCCACTGCAATACTCATCAGCTCATTCAACTGGGTCTCCTTGTTGGGTTTGGATATATATGTCACGTGCCCACAACTAGCTTACAAACAATTGTGGTTCATTAAAGTTCATTATATGGAACCAAAATCCGTAACAACATAAAAGAGAAACACAAATTTGGATGAACCAGACAAATGTTGACATTGAATATAATGGATAATATAATAATTTATTTATAATATTTTTGTTTCGATGACGATTTATGAATCAGTAGTTTTTTTCTTTGGCTTGTAACTTTGATTTGGTTTGATCTCAGTTGATATATACATATGCTAAAATATATTAATATCCTTTTATGCATATAAAAAATGTAGACGCTAGACTCAACCCTAGACTCTAGACGATCAAAAAAAAACACGAGAATACTTAGATACGTCTAGATTCTAGAGTTCTAGAGTCTAGTCTTGTCAAGTCTAATCTTTTATCAAAGGCCAAAAGTCTATAGAACACAATCCCCAAAACAAAAACAACAACATTGAAAAAAAAACTGAGTCACCTTGTGGAGCCACCAATCATTGAGCTGTGCAGTTGCCATGCTCATCAGGTTGGTCACAAAGCTTATCAACTCGGTTGGGTCCACTACCTTGTGGCCGAGGGTCATAATATTGGCAGTGTCCATGACCTTCTCCATGTTAAACTCATTCAACACCCTGAGGCACTCATAGATAGATCTGACGGTGCTGGTAGTCATCGCCGTGGTTGCTTCTCCGGGAAGACCATGTACTGCACAGGGATTACATATTGTATTATGAATTTCAATACAATATATATAATATATTAAAATATAATATCATATGTAAATGTAAAATATATTTTAATTTTAATATGCATTTGTAACTGTATTTATTTTATAAATATCGCAATTCACAATTACAACTATATTTAATATATATATATTATTTTAATATTATATTATATTAAAAATCATATTTTTTTAGACAAAATGTAATGTTCTAATATGTATGTTTTTCTTTTGTTGTTTCTAAAATATGGTTAACTAAGTAGTTAATGAAATAACAGTATTGATTGTTATGTTTCACCAGAGAAACGAAAAAGCTGAAGTTCTTTGTCAACCATTATCTTCGTCGGCTGGTATAGCCATCAATATATTCCATAAGTTTTGTTTAAATAATTTAGTAAAGTTATAATATATAATATATATATATAATATATAAATACAATATTAAGCAAACTAATTATAGTTAGTAATGTACAATACGATGTAATATCATTTCAGTATAGTAACAAGATATCATTGTTATTTTAGTAATTAGTAATAGTATATTACAAGTACACTGCCACATATTATTTAATATTATCTATTCATATGTTATGTTAAGTTACTTTACTTAGCTTTATAATTTATAATTTATTATCATGAAGTGAAAGTATAGTGCAATATAATCATCTAAAATCTGAAATAATATAGATTTGATTTGACTTTACTAATTATTATTTTACTAAGTTAAGTTAAGAAAATTACCAACTCTTGATGTTTGATTATTGGCTCTTGACTCTCTTAACTCTTAACTCTTAACACTAGATCTTGCGATGTTACAAGTTAAAACATGTTTAGTTTCTTTGTTAGAGATAAACCAAAAGGAAACTACAATGGATAATGTTTAGTTTAGTTTAGTCAAAAAAACAATCCCTGCCTGTGAGGAAAATGGCTTTGCACAACTCGGCTGACTGGATCATAGATTCACGTCGTGGATTGGACATTTGCAATGACGCTGCATGCATGCTAAGCTGAGCACAGTGCTTCTTCATCTCGTCCAGGTTCGTGTCCGACTTGTTGTCCATCAATGCCAACATGTCGTTGCATAGAGTCGCCAAGTGGACGTTGGCCATGTCAAGAATCTGGTTGGATTTCTGCTTATCAATCATCTCTGTCAGAGTCGCCATCTTTGCCATGATCGCCGCAAACGATTCAGTCAGTTCTGACTCGTTGGCCGGAAGCTTCTGCACGATACCACCCTGAATGTGAAACAGCAACATAGGAAAGGACAAACAGAAACTAAGTAACTGAATTAATCAAAATGTCAATAAGATTATGAAATACAGATAAATAGAACAGCTAATTGTATTTGTTTTTTTAATTAAGGCATATAACAATAATTGCATTTAACACATTGCGAATCTTGATTTGGATCAATAATCATATAATCACATAATAATAATGGTATGATATAAATAAAAAAGACAAAACATATAATAATAAATTAGTGATAACTGGCAAATAATAATTATATAATATAGATATAGATGAATTTGACTAAGTTAACATTACAAATAACACCCACTGAATTTTGAAACAACCATTCAAGGGAAGTTCAATTATGAAAAAATGGATTGATGAAAAAAAAAGTAATATTATAATTATAATTCTGATTATGATTCTGATTATGATGTATATTATATTTTTTAAAAATATTAAATTATTAAATCATGGACCATGGGCCATGGGCATTCATCCTAGTGTTGTGTTTGTTAAAGAAAACAAACACACACTGGCTAGTAAAAAAACGTTTGCTAAACTGCTTGATAATAAACTAGCTTAACTTAACTTCACTTGGCTTAACCCAATTAACTGACCTAAACTAAACTAGCCTCTAGAGAATTGAAAACATACGAAAGCTTTCAACTTTCAACAACTGTGCCTGCAACTGATGACATACATTCTTGAAGTCCGAAAGATGCTTCTGCATATTCTGCAAGACATCCTGGCCACCCTTCATTGCCACAGTGCACTTTGAGAGCTCAGCGAACAAATCAATGAGCTGTCTGTTCGGCTTGTAGAAGTCAAAGTGTGACAAATGCTGTGCCATTGGCCATGACGAAGCATCAGGTGGTGTGAAGATGCCGTTGGCCATGGATTGGATAGCCTCGTCCAGCCATGGTGCAGCCTAGGATTGAATTACTCTGAGTGTACCAGCAAAAAAAGAAACAGCACTCCAACATATTGAATAACCTAACTACCAAGTTGATTTTAGTCACATGAATTCCAGATCCTAGATTCTAGAAATTCATAACTGTATGCTAAGTTAAGTTAAGTTATCAATTATCAACATACTACAAATGAACATTTCTATTGCCCAACCTTATCACGAAAACAAACACACTAACCAACATAAGCGAACCAAATATATCACTGAAGCAAAACCACAATTTGTGAATGAGAACAAGCGACCGATAAGACCCAACCAGCCGCAACGATCTTGCATGATGCGGATGTGATGGTCAACAGCTTGGCAGCCAAAGTATCTTTGGGAAGTTTCTTCTCCTTCAAGCTCTGCCACGGTTCGTGAACGCTCCCAAGGCTCTTGGTCCTCATAGTGTGTAATCTTAAAAGTCTGAACCTTAAGGAAAATAAAATATGTTGTTTAGCTTGATTATATGATTGAATTAAACCAACTAACTAGTAACAAAAATAGTATATTTTAATGCCAACACATGTACAAGAACGACTATAATGATCATGAATATAATTGAACAATAACTTGACTTAGATAATCAGTCAATATAGTTGCATTACATAATAACATAACTTAACTTAGGTAACTAGCCTTTTACAAATACTAGCTTCAATCCTTGAAATACAATAATGATAAAACAATACAACATTACTTATAACTTATAACTTATAACTTATACTCTTAATTAATTTCAAATATAATGCCAAAATCTGAATCTAAATCGAATCTAGTATCATTCAGAATCATTCAACATCATTCTAACTCAACAGAATTCGTTGTGTATAGTGTATTGTATACCATTGACCCTACCTAGGTGCAATACAGCATACACCTTTACAATGTAACCAATGTAGTATAGTTCAAAAAACTATTATACATTAGTACACAACATTACAAAACCTCCGGGTGGAAAAAAAAAACATCCAGATTTAATTGCAGGGATCATTGCATCAATATTCTCAAGGTTCAACTTGGTGTCCACAATTGACTGGATATTTTCCTCCAACGGACCTGATGTCTCCTTGCGCAATTCGTGCTGCTCATTAGCATCGGTCATGATTCGGCCACCAATGTTGGACACAGCAAACGACTGGGAGAGAGGCAGTTTCCTGTGTTGAAAGAAACAATAACTTGGCGAAGCTAATTGGTTAACAAATCATTGTTACAAGTTATAGAGTTATGAGTTATAGATTATAGATTGATAATGATTCATCATAGAATCATTGATGATAGCTTGGGTTCTAATTTCAAAGATAAACTTAAACCAAACATACATAAACCAACAATTCGAATAAACTATCCAAACCACTGGTCTGGTGTTTTCTTCAGCTTTTCCAGAAGGTCCAAGGAAACAGCCAACTCATCTAAACGCGAAGTCTCCGCCTTGAGAATGTTGATCACATGGGAGGAATCGATAACCATTGCCTTCGGTGAAGAAGTTGCATTCTGGATTGCAAGAAGAAATGCTTCTGTTCCCTCCATGGCGGTCTTGTTGGTCTGACTCGAAGCTTTCTCCTGCCATGTTTTGTTTGTTTATTTTTTTTAATATATAGTATGCTGCTAAATCATTATTGTTTTTTATTATTTATTATCATTTGATCAATGTATTTATATAGTTCATATTATATGTGATATGTTATAGTTATGAGTCATAGATATAATGAACAAAGGAAAATGAAAATAAACTAAACTAAACTAACAAATGCTAACGAACAAATTATGTGTTTGGTTAGTTTGATTTTCTATGATGTTAAACATGTTCAGATTGAAAGAAATATAAATATGACATTTTTGTTGAATTGGTAAACTTTACGACTACCTTAAACTTTTATTTCCAAAACAAAAGGCAGCAAACAAAACAACCAAACAAACAAAAAACGAATGTCCTTGGGCTTGAACTTCTGGGTCGCTGTACGAAGCATCTTCTGCAAGATCTGAGAGCACATAAGCATGTAGAAGTCATCTGCTGTCACACCATCATCTGCAGGAAGGAAGCGCTCATCAATTGTCTTCTTGGAAACCGACACGAGATTGCTCCATGCACCAAGCTTGAAGTCGTCATTGATCAAACTCTTCAATGCTCGTCGCATGATGGAACTATTGACCTTGAGCTCATAGCTTCGCATAGCATCATCAATGTAAGCAAGAAGGCTGGTCTCAGCATCGATCTGAGCTGTTCCAAGTAGACCTGGTTCAATGGGAAAAAAGGCAAAAATCAAAACACACCAACAAAAGAAGATGGGAAACCCACAGGTACTAATAGTTGGTAATTTCTATGATTAGTGTAGTTTGGGTTTAAAGTCTAAAGTTAGGATTTAGTTTGATCAATCTAATGATATGATTTTTTAAAAAAAAATATATCATTTTTTAAAAAAAAAACAATGATTAAGGAGTTGAAAATAAATAATGACATAAATAATCATATATAATGAGGTTACTAGTTACTATATTTCATTTTAACCATTTTGACCTACTAGAACTATTTTTTTCTAAAAATGATGTCATCACCCAAGCACACTTCAAGAGGTTCTGCAGCGAAATCATGACCTCCTGCACGTCCCCAATGGCGATAAACAAAGGATCAGATTCTTTGAGAGCACGTCGACCAGCACTCTTCTTCTTGTTCTTCAACTCAGCAGCCAACGACGAAATGATAGTTTGCTTCTCCAGCAGAAATGTCTTGAAGGCTGAATCTGGTAATGGACATTGACTAAGATCCTTCAGTGCCTTGAACTTTGCATCGTAATGTTCCATGGTAGCACGATCTGCATCACATAGGGATGTAGCCGATGTGAAGTCGAAAGGCTCTTGGTTGGGGTCGATGTCCATGCACAAAGAAGAGTCATCTTTGTCTTGAGTTTTCTGCCGTTTGTTTCCTCTGCCCTTTCCCTTGCCTTTGCCGTTGTGATTGCCAAGCCGGCCAATCCCCACTTGATCCACTCGCTGAGCCTTGGCCTTGGGTTCTGCAGATGGTGTTGAAACTGATGGAGCTGGAGTAGCATCAGCTGGCTCAGGGGTTCTTCGCTTGATGCTAGGCGTATTTGTAGAAGGAGCTGCCAATGGCTTTGCCTTTGTCTTTGCCTTGACTGGTTTCTCCTTTGCCACATGGCTGCTGAAGCCCTTCAGCATCTCCATCATGCCTACTGGAGCATGTTCCTCGTCATCATCTCCATCTGATTCAATAGCTGGAGTGGTTCCTATCAGGGTGTGCAGCATATCAGGCCATATGTATAAGCTCTGTAACAACTATATAATAGGATAAAATTTAAGAAACCTAATAATTAATTAATATAACTTGTTGGTATATGCGATTTATAAATCATTGACTGACTATAATACAACTTCAAATTCAAAATCAAATAATGATATTGTCATTGTCATTTGCTGTTTCTTACATTAGTTTATCTTAATGGATTTAAGTTTGAGGACTTTTTTCAGAGAATCTTAGACTGAATTTGTTAAGTCAACTATAATTGTGTTTGTCTGTCCTGGTCCATTTGACCCAGAAGATGTGCCAGTTGGGACCGTAGGATCAGCGGTAACCGAAACATCATCCATGGACCCATTGCCCAAGCAAAGCATGCGCTCCATGGATCCAACCTCCTTGGCAATCTTGAGATCTTTTCCTGACTTGAGCACGGTTTTCTTGGCTGCCTGATGCATCAGGCCTAGGGAATCACGAGTTGGGTCAATGATGTACTCGTCGTTGAGTTGCGCCGTTCGGTTCACACTTCGGTAGTTCTTGTTGATGCGTTTGTGCCAACCTTGCACCCCAGTGCGAACGTTCACCTTAGTAAGTCAGTCAGATCGCTGTAATAGCAGCTAAAACGCAATATTATATTATCTTATATTATATATTATATTCAATAACATATTATATTAGATTAGATTATATCATATTATATTATATTAAATATATATATATATAGTATATATATTTATATAATATATATATTATATTATATTATATTATATTAGAAAAATATATACCATATATAATATAATGAATCATATATTTATAATATATTATGCTATATGTTATATGTATTACATGAAATAGAATATATAATATTTATATAATATTTTCTTGTTCTAATCACTTGATAAGACATAGCGGGGATTAAAACGATAGGTCCCCAACCACTCTTTTTGGGGACCTATCGTCTTCATGGTTGGTGAACATAACGTAATAACAAACCAGTTATATATATTAGATATTACTAATATTAATTTATTATATTCTTACTGTATGTATTTGTGATGGAACACAATAACAAATAAATCTTCAAACACATACAAGAATCAATACTAAAACCTCAAACAGGATACACCAGCTTTCACAACTCCAGGCTCAACTTCTTCAAAGGAAATCTTCTCAGGATCTGCTTTGCCATACTTCTTCTCGTAAGCATCTAATTCTACGAAGAAAGTTTCGGGTGCTTCCAGTCCAGTTTCACTATGCTGACCTGTGGTAACTTTCTCCTTGGTGCAGCCATTGATTTCCAAGCGGAACCTCATATATGGATTTGCGATCTTCTTCTTGATCATCTTGGCGCGAACTGCCTTGGATAGGCAATGCATTATGCGTGGAGGATATGTATTGTATGTTTTATAAGTTTTATATATATATACATATATATATATTATGAAATTAATATGTTATATTGATCTCTATAGTTACTATTCTATGCAATAGATTCAATAGATAAAATTAATTATATTACATAAAACATATATATTATTAACAAAATAAACTCATTCATACCAAGGTACAAGAAATTCATGAAGTTTAGATGGATTTTCAGCAATGGAACGTGCGAATTGATCCTCTGTTGCACCCTCAGCATCGAAACCACCCTGATCCCACACCTAAGTTCAGTGGCAGAAATGGAAGTGGATGGATAAGGAATATATAGTGCAATGCCCCCTCCCCCAAACAATAAAAACAAAAATCAACAGCAACAACAACAACAACAACACAAACAGCACCAAACACCAAAAGGTTTATAATTTTAACTCTTAAATATATACCTAGTAACAACTTGGCATGGTTTGCAGATCGAACCAACTGCAGCACCTTGCTTTCCTCTGCCCCATGGAATATCGGGATGCCAAGCAGCCAAGCAAGTTCCTCTAAGATCCCAAGGGCATGGAGAGGTACTCCAAGCTCCGCAGTATCTACATTTCTTGGCTGCATTTCCCAAAGACCCTGCATTTCCATCTCCATCCTCCATTAGAATGCCCATCGATTCACCCACAGATGACATGGCGCCAAGTGTTGATATACTCAGCTACTCAAACCAACCTGTTTGGGGAAAGTTCTTCCAAATGGAAATCTAAATTGGGCCAATAGCAATGCAAATCAAATAATAACACGGAGTGTCAACGATTGTGCCCAATGTGTGCACATCATGTGCCATGTATTGCACATGTATTGCATCCTCTAGTGTGCCTAAATTGCACCATCTAATGTACCTGAATTGCACCATGTATTGTACCTCTAGTGCACCTTGTATTGTACCTGTACTGTACCCTGTACTGTACCTGCACTGCACCTTGTACTGTACCTGTACTGTACCTGTACTGTACCTGTACTGTACCTGTACTGTACTTGTACTGTACATGTACTGTACCTGTACTGTACCAGTTCCATTGTAGACAAAACTAGGTTTTGTTTGCAATTTTTGCTAACAAAACTAGGTTTTGTTTGCAATGCACCAGGTGCAATGTTGACAAAAGTAGGTTTTGTTTGCAATTTTTGCAAACAAAACAGGGTTTTGTTTGCAATGGGTCAGGTGCAGTGCAGGGTGCAGTGCAGGGTGCAGTGCAGGGTGCAATATTAGTGCAATAGGAGGTGCAATAGATGGTGCAATTGTACCCAATGTATGCACCAAATGCTATTGTAAACAAAAGTATGTTTTGTCGGCAATTTTTGCAAACAAAACAGGGTTTTGTTTGCAATGGGTACAGGTGCAGTGCAGGGCGCAATATTAGTGCAATAGATGTACATTATTAGTGCAATATTAGTGCAATAGATGTTCATTATAGATACAATATAGGGTACATTTAGGCTACATTACACTAATATAAAATAATACATATACTATGTGCAGATTCATGATGAACACAACTCAATAGCCACATGCAATGGTTGTTTTTTCCCCCCATTGTGATCCACTGAATGATCTTTGCATACCTATGCAAAAGCCACATCATAGTATACACACTGGCATAGCGTTGAGTACACAATGCCCCTCACGTTGCCATTGTCGTCATAACCATCGTTGTAAACCTCAGATCCCAATGATTGGAAACTATATGAAACTATAACTATACCAGATCAGAAAATATCACATTAAACTTATTAAACTAAACTAAATTAAAAACACGTAAAACATAAATTAGCATACACATATCTAATATTAATAAACTTAATAAACCTAACGATCAAGAGGCATTCGTTTGTGCTCTGCTGCTCCAGTTTCACGAGTTCCAACCGATCGACCAGCAGCAAGCCATTTCAGCGCAGATGCCTGGCTTTCAACACAACAAGCTCTTTTGACCTAGCTTCAAATGATCAAAGAGCAAATCAAATTGGGTAACCAGATTTGTGATTTATAATCTATGATTTACTACAATACTGATTTTAATGATAATTTTCAATTACTGAAACCACAAATATCATAACAACAATATCTAAACTCTAAACTCTAAATTCTAAACAACCACAAAAAAAAACTATATTAAAAAAGAAAAAAAACATATCATAAGTCACCAAAACTAGCAAAAAAAGAATAATATAAGCACCCGGAAGTTTGTAGGAAGCGATCGGTAGGTCTTGCAGATTCGGCAATCCTTGTGGATCTTGCAGTGAAAACTGATGGAATGGTTCTTTGGATCATGCTCCTTGAAAGACGTCACCCGACCTGCTAGTGGCTTTAGTGATGCATATGTTATTCAATTTTATTTATACACTATAATGGATCAATTAAATTAAAATAAAACATATTCAACAATTAGCAAGTTGGTTTTTACAATCCTGGTTATGATATTGGTGAATGAATATATCCCCAATTAAATGCAAAATCAATCATGTTGATATGTTATATATCTACCCTAATTTAGTTTAGATTTAGATTGTTACTATATAACCTCATTGAAAATCATAGAATCATATCAGGTCTTTCCCGATACATAAGCGATATATATTTAATTTAAAAACATAAAAATAAAAACTACATACCCTCTGACCATGCCTATCTCGCGTCGTCCCTCTGGTAGATCAACAAAGACATGACCAGTTGTATTGCTGTAGGCTTCAACCTTGCCGTCCATGCCAACCACTTGAAACTGAACAACAAACTGATTGCTAGAAGAACCCCGGGCCGATGATGAAGGTGTGCTACTCGCTGCCGGAGCTGATGATGATGTAACCACTTCCCGTCCACGATCCTTAGTGGTACATGTGATGTCCCACCAATCTATATACGCATACTATGGATTATGAACAATGTAGTGTAACTTATATGGGCTGTGTTATGGTGTGTTTTCATTACTATAAGTGAATTATTTTATGATTCTGGTCAATGTCAACAGTTATATTTAAATAAAATAGTTGTTTTACTACTAATTAATCATAAGTCATAACATGATACATAGTAAATGACTATCATAACTCAGAATTTGGTATGTTGATTAGTGTTAGAATGTTAGAATCATTCATTATTGATTAATATTATATTTATTTAGAACTA